CTTATCAGTTTTACAAGGCTCCTAAAACACAAGGTACAGTTAGTTAGGGGTTTATCATCATCATCAGGGCATGAGTATACCAGTCAGGGAGAACAAAGTGAATTTTTAAATAACAAAATTATTAAGGCTATAAAGTCTTCTCAAAACTTATCAAAATAAGTACTTCTTTTTTAGATGTAAAGAATAACAATATGATACTGGAATGTACCTCTATTTTACTTAAATTTGTTTCACTTCTCTTTTCTCTAGATGAGATGTCACTGGATGTAGTTTTTTTCTAAACTGGCTTCTTTTAATTCTTGAGTTTTGTTATGTTTTTCACATTGAATTATGTACTCTCTTCCTTGGTATTTACTCATAATTATACTTTCTTCTTTTTCATCTTGATGATAAAAATATAACTTTTCTATTACTTAGATTAGAACTTATTTTTTCTTGCATATCATAGATTCCTCCTTTCTCCTCCCGCCTCCCCCAATTATAGTTTAAAGAATAGTCTTTCTCTAAAAGGCACATGAAAATATGTTCAACTAATTATCAGGAAAATACATATTAAAATTACAATGAGATATTACCTCACACCTATCAGAATGATATTTGTCAAATAGACAAAAAATGTGTTGGCATGAATGTGGAGAAAATACAACACTTGTACACTGTGTGTAGCCAATATGCAAAACAATATAAAAGCATCTTAAAAAATTAAAACTAGATCAATTCCAAGGTTAGGTATTTATCTGAAGAAAATGAAAACACTAAAAATAAATAATAATAAAATAAAATAAAATAAAATAAAATAAATAGACATATGTACACTTTTGTTAATTACAGCATTACTTACCATAATCAAGATATGGAAGCAACCTATGTGCCCATTGGTAGATCAATGGAATATTATTCAGTCATATTACTCAGTCAAAAAAAAGAATAAAATCTTGCCAGTTGTTTGATCCAAATAACATGGATCAATAAGGAGAGTAGTATCTTAAAAAAAAAGTCAGAGAAAGACAAATACTATATGATTTCACCTATGTGTGAAATCTATAAAAACAAAACAAACAACAGAATCAGAATCATAGACACAGAGAACAAATGGTGTTTGCCAGAGGAACAGGGTTAGAAGATTGAATAAAATAGGTAAAGAAAATTAAAGGATACAAACTTCCATTTATAAAATAAATAATAAGTCACAAGGACATAAAAACAAAGACTATAATCAATAATACAGTAATAATTTGGTATGCTGATAGGGGTAACTAGAGTTACCATGGTGATTAGATCACTTCATCTATAATAATAAAAGAGTAATATGCAAATCAACCAAAAGGCCAAACAGCAGAACAACCATCCAGACAACCTTCCTAAGGACCTTCCGGATGAAGCCAGCGCTGCAAGGGCTGAGGCAGCCAGGGCTGTGAGGGTCTACCCTTGCATGAATTTCGTCCATTGAGCCTCTAGTAATGTATATAAATAGCAAATCACTATGTGATACACCAGAAATGAATATATTGTTAGTTATATTTCAATAAAAGATAATATTTTTAATTGAGTTTATAAGTCCTGAGTTTGCATTTTTAATACTATTGCTACCACTACATGAGAAATAAGTTGCTCAAACATATGCTTGTTTATTAAAATGCTATTGTTTTGAACTTGGAAATTTTTCCAAAGAAGCAGACTTCAAAATTTGAAGAAATTATACATAGAGCAAATATTTTTGAAATAATTTTTATTCAACAACCATAAATTCAAAGGAGACTAGTAAGCTGAATCCTGATAAACAAGGCATTTCAAACTTTAGCAAAAAATAATATCTTTTGTACATTTGACTAACTTGGTTAATGCTCCCCTCATTAGGTTTACTCACAAAATTAGTATAATCATCATTCCTTATTGGCAGTTTTGCTTTCCAGAGTTTATCTATCTATGGTCAGTAGTGGTCCAAAAATATTAACTGAAAAATTCCAGAGATAATCAATTCATAACTTTTATATTATGTGCTGTTCTGAGTAGTATGATGAAATTTTGCATTGTCCTGCTCCATCACTCTCCCACCTTGACTGTGAGTCATTTCTTTGTCTAGGTTATCCATGCTGTACAATACAATGTGATATTTTGAGATAGATCATGTTCGTATAATTTTATTTCAATATAGTGTTATAATTATTCTTTTTTATTATTAGTTATTAATAACGTACACAAGTAAAAGCATAAAAGAGCAGTATTCTTCACAACAGGCTTCCATCAAGGATACTGAAGTGATATTTATCAATCCTTTAAATTCAAGAAATCTCTTACTGTGCCTTATTTATAAGTTAAGCTTTATCAAAAAGTATAGAAATAAACATAGTATATATAGGGTTTGCTACTCTCTGCTGTTTCAGGCCTCCACTGAGTGTCCTGGAAAGAAACTCACTCAAATAAGGGAGGATTAATTTATGTATATTCTCTCTATATAAGACACATATAGAAATTAATTCCATTTCTGTTACATCTAAATTATTCAATATGGTATTCATTGAATCTTTTACCATGCACCTAAACTCTCAAGAAAATGTTGCAAATTCCTTGAATCCAAAATTTGCAAATATAAACGCCTATTTAAAAAAATAGAAGTCTGGCTATTCCTTCAAAAACTATACTTATTACTACAAATATCAACAATTAATCAAGTATCTTTTCTTCTTAAATTAGATGACATAGTTTGATAGCCAATGTTAATTGGTCCTACAAAGATTAGTTTTTTATTACAGACCAAAATATCTCTCTTTCACAAAATTACACATTCAAATGCCCATTATTTACATGTGTAACTTAGCAGTTGCCAATGTCTATTGCCTCTGAAATACCTCTTCAATTTAATTATCATACTGGATAACCTCTCAGTAGTAGAGGATAGGATCATCAGTTACATTAGTTCTCATGTCTATTCCCTTAACTATGAATTTGGGAAGAAAAAAGCTTAAGTCCTACTTTTTTCCATAGTCTATTTTGCCTAGAGAGGAGTCTATGGAGCACATTTTTATTTGTCATTCATCAGAGAACTTTTATAGCTATAAAAGACAGAGATAGGGAGCAAAACTCAGTATTAGACTTGCTTTGATCGACCACATCCAATGAATGTCATTTTGATGCCAACTCACATGGTAGACAGATGTATCTCCATTCCTCTTCTACCATTGTAAGGTCGAGCTTTGCAGTCTTGCCCAGCAATCTGATATTAGCCTTTGTATTCATGAAGTACTTTTTTTATTCCATTTCATCCCATGTAAAACTTAGAGTATATTGAAAAACTAAAAGTTGCTGGCCTCCAAAATCTTAGTCCCTTGCTCTCTCACTAGTAACGTGCACATGTCAAAGTGTAAAAGAGCAGTATTCTTCACAGCAGAGTCCCATCAAGAATATTGAAGTAGTATTTACCATCCCTTTAAATTCAAGAGACAATTAACACTAGCCTAAGCCTCCAAAATGTATAAATGTGCCCAAATTGTCATCTTTGAATTTGATTGTTTAACATTTTACTAAATAATATTTTTTAATAGCTGTCAATATTTTAGGTCAACTCTTTTGATAAGCTTCACATCCCTTTTTATTAGAGACAGTGCTTGATTTTCCTTTACAATTGTAAGACTCACTTGATGGAAAATCTGTCCATGGACTTACTGCTTAAGTAGGAATGAGTTTTAAGTATTCAGAACTTACACACAATACTTTGAGTTTTAGTGACTAAAGTGAGCCAATGAGAAAGCATAATCAGTTGTTAACAGGTCACGAGTTAGCTTCATGATCTCACTGCTTGGACAAACTTTAAGTATCTTCTACGTTTCTCCATCCCTCTCGTAAGTTAGCATTTTACTGCTTGCAGAATGTTTTTGACTGGAATGGAAAGGTTCAACATAGAGAGAAAGCTATTCCTTGGTTAAAAAAAATACAAATAAATAAATAAATAAATAATAACTGTTTGAATAGTTATAATCAATAAATAATAAATATGCATCATACCACCAAAAACAAACAAGGTAAATTAACTATGCTAATTTTATTCAAAGAGAAATAAATACTTATTGTATATGCAACGAAGTGGGATGATCTGGAGTCCTCCGATCACCAAACTGGCTGAGGTTAATATTGGGCTGGGGAAGGAGGGGGGGATGCGGGGGGGGGGGGGGTTGGGAGGCCCATTTATAGCTGGAGTTTGCAGAAGCAGAGAGAAGTAGATAATAGCATCTGAGGACAAAGATCCTATTACCATTATAAAATAATAATAATAAATAACATTTCTTCCTATCTACCACTGGTGAGCACCCACTCACTTTACTTTAGAAAATATATAGTATTTCTTTTGAACCTTTAATCGTTAGCAACTGATATTCAACGAAGACAGGTAAGCCATTGTCTTAATGCTTTGAAGAAAGAAAAGTTTAGAACTGGAAAAGAGTGGTTCTCAAAGACCATTAATGCAAACAAAACGTTTGGAATAATCTGTGCATATTTAATATATGGCTACTTCAGATCTGAGACAGACGATTACCTGAGAAGAAAGAACATCCTCTGAGCCATTTCACTTTTTACATTTGAAATGTCTCAGGAGCTCACATTAATATTAACTTTACCAACTCCTCTTATTCTGGTATATTCCTCGAATGCACCCTCCCTTCTCCCCCGGGAAAGACTTGCCTTCTGATTTGCCCTCACATCTGCATTTACCAGAGGAACAGATGCTTAGCTTCGAAGGGTCAGAGTCTGGCCTTTTCCTTCCCGTCCCAGAGCAGAAAGAAAGGGGGTTCTGAAGTGACGGTGGGTGGCAGCTTTCCAAGGGCTGGCCCGTGCTCTCACATTTAAAGTAAGCAGGTGGCATCAATGGGATCTCTAATGACTAACTAGATAAGAGTGCAATTGATCTGTTTAGTAACCCTTTTCCCCACAAGGTGCCTGCCCCTCCCTCCTGAGTTCAGTTACATTCATTGTTCAGTTCCAGGAATCATTTTAGACCCTTTCACCTTTTTTGTCTGAGCTGAGACTTAAAGCACAGGGGCACAAACGCTGATATTCCATCTCATCTAAGTCCTCCTCTCGGAACCTCCAAACTGGTAAATGCCTTCACAATTGGAATCTGACTTGAAACAATAGTTAACACACATGTGAATGCATCTGCAATGCTATTGATAGTACTTTCATGCCGACTTTGAACTAAGTTTGTTTGTCTTCCTTCTGCAGGTCGAAGACCACTTACTCTAAACATCACAGCTAATGCTGAAGAGTATGGAGCCTACATAGATGCTAAGGTAAATGATTAATGTCAAAATAATGCATAATGGATTCAGTATAGCATGAATCCCAGCCTTGTGTAAGTGTGTTGTCCTTCATCTATTGAAGATTTTCTGAGTTATGGACTGGATAACCTTTCAGGAATAGAGGGTAGGATCATGATTATGGATAGTGCTGAGGGAAGGACGAATATGTCTGTGAGTTCGCTCTCTTCAGCGGCAGGTTATCTGTTATATATTGCATACGTTTACCTGGATTTCTTACAGAAGTCTTCATGGGGTCTTAGGAGGCTCCTACCCTGAAGTATGTCAGGACATCACAAATCACATTGTCAAGTGGAGAGCAATTAGAGCCGTCATTTTTGTGCATGAAGCCTGAAATGATTAGGATGTATTTTGTTGCACGTATAGGAAGAGATACAAAACATCCCAAGGAGGCTACTGTGCTACAGGTGGTGTCAGATGAGGAAGTATGGGATGAAGGGATTTATAGAGAAGGGCCTCATTGTATTTCTCTTTCTCTGAATCGTGGTCATCATTTGCTTTTCTGCTTGTTAAATAACTGTGTATTGCTGAAACTATGGGTTCTACATTAAGGTGGACAATAGCAAAATGATTAATAACTAAGATTCAAAGCCAGCCTAAAGTCAAATTGTGGTTCTGCCATTTACTGGTTGCTGCACCGTGGGCTTCAGTTTTCTCATCTACCAAGAGGGATAAATAACAGTGCCCACTACTTAGAACGGTGGCATAATAGAAACAAATGAGTAGACGTAAAGCGCTCGAAATATTGCCTGGCACCTAGTGAACCCTAAATTCACTGATTAACTAAAGCACTTCCATTCTACCTCCTCACATTGTTTCAGTTTTTCATTTATCCTTTAGTCTAGAAACTCTGTGGTTGTGGGGATTGCTAAGGGAACCAAACTCCCAATTCCCTTTTAGCAGCCTCCCTCCCGAAGGACATATATTATACCTTTCATGTAAATGCTAGGGAGGAAAATAATTGGCATTGCCTTGCCCTTTGAATGGACCCCTGGCTAGCCCTAGGTGGTGTGACGGGGAAAGTGACCCGCAAGCAGGGGGCCTGCCAGCTCGGAGCACCGTGTAGTGGGGGAAGCAATTAGAAGGCGCCTTGCCATTTCAGAAACAGGCAAACATCAATTGGCATAGAGTTTCAGGAAGCAGCATACCAAGAAACCTACAAAACAGAAAGCCTTTCAAGGGAATGGAAATACCGGGCTTCCAAATCACAAACGGATGATTCTGATTACCATTAGAATTTAATAAGCCTAAATATGGAGACAGAATGACTTCATCCCTCCAGTAGACCTACCAACACTCCATGTTTCCACTAGAGCCGTCCTGTCCTCCCCTTTTCCACTTTTCAGAAGCAAAACCAGGGTGCTCATTGGTCAGAGCATGTCATCTCCTGCCTCTCTCCCTTCCATTAGCAAAAGCATATTTCTCCAATCTACCACCCCACCCCACCCCAGTTGCCTGTCAGGACTGAAGGTAACGGATCAGAGAAAAGAAAATGGCATTAGTGTATGAGGTTTTACAGAATCCTGCAAACCTGGGTTCAATCCAAAAGTAGTCAATGACTACTCTCTGATTTGGCTTTCTCAGCTCCCAAATGCAATTTGTCACTATTCTATTTCCGATGTTAATTTTTAAGATAAAAATATGTGAAAGTAATCTTTTAACACAAGTAGTGATATGGCTTGTTTAGTTTTATTTAGATATTTGGTGCAATTGCTATCACTAATTACAGCTATATTTTGATTTTAATAACCCAAATGAAGAAAATGTATTATAAGGTTTAAACAAGTCATATGCTAAGCCATTTAAAAACTATTAATTTGAATAAGAAGACCTAAACTGAAGTTAGAATATTTTTTAATTAATCATACTATCAAATACTCAGTGTTAAAAAATGTTTAAAGAGGCAAATTTGTCAAAGAAAAATAAAAGATGAATCTTCTAAAGACTAGATATTAATAATTGTTTTTTGAAGAGAAAATTATTTATAAAAAATAAGATATACCATTTCCCACATTAATTCTTCCCCAAATTTTAGTGTGAATATTCTTTCTTTTTCTATTTTTAAAATATGATACAGTAAACATACCATATCTCAATTGGTACAATCTTGAATGATAATAACACTAATATTATTATCTTAACAAATATATTCTTGAGTATCACACCACTGTAATATTGACAGCAAGACAAATAATATCTACAATAGAAAGGATAATGTGAGCTATTAAGACAATGTTTTAGTGTAATACTTCAGCAACTTAAAAATTGTTTTAGGTTAAAATAGTTCAGCATAACTTTTCTGAGGTTTTTATGCTGTAAATAAACTTTGATTGCTATGGCAATGTAAGCAACATGAATGAATACTGTCTATTCCTGTAACAGGAAACATGTCACTGTTATAAATACATGGCTAGGACAGCATTTCTGGGTTCCAGTCCCAAATCTGCATCTGAACTTTCTGAGTGATCTTGAGCAATTAGCATCCATCTGAAGAAACAAAGGAGCTTCAGAAATGAAGGCTGATATTTTTAGGAAACACTTCCAGCACACAATCTAGCATGCGTTAAATCCACATTCTGTTGTCAATCTTTGCTGACACCTGTCTGCCCACTCCTCTCGCCCCACTGACCCCATCATTTAAGAATGGAGGGATTTGTTTAAAATGGATCCTCTTGAAACTTTACAATTACAAAAAAAAATTACAAATTAAATAGACTTTTTAGTCTCGCCAACTAGTTGTTTGGAGACCTTTTTTAAAAAAAGTCACTTAATCCTAGCCAGTGTGGCTCGATGGTTAGAGAGTAATCCTGTGCATGAAAGGGTTATGGGTTAGATACACAGTCAGGGCACATGCCCAGGCTACAGGTTCAATTCCTAGTTGAGACACACGTAAGAGACAACCTTTATTATGTTTCCCTCTCACATGGATGCTTCTCTATCTCCCTCTCACTTCCTCTCTCTTTAGAATCAATGAAAAAGATCCTTGGGTGAGGATTACAAAAGGAAAAAAAAGTCATTTAACTAATTTTATTGGGAGTCAATAATATGTCCACAGCTGCTCTACAACAAAGTAGCATATAAAGAATATAAAGTGTGGCCCTTGCTCTCTGCTGGGGAGGAGCCTACAAACAAGGTAGGTGTCCTTGAGCGGAATCGAACCCAGGACCCTTCAGTCCATAGGCCAATGCTCTATCCACTGAGCAAACCCAGCAAGGGCACTCATTTCAATTTTTTGCAGAAGTGCTAATGGAAGAGGTGGGATCCAAGATGTGTTTTAAGAATGAATAGAGTTTGGGCTATATAAAGCTTCTCTGGGAAAAATAACCAGTTGTCCTATATCTATATTACCTGGGGTCTACGTAATGAGCTGTTTGACTAGTGAAAGCAAAGCAAATGGGTAGTGGAAAGGGCTGGCATTTCACTGCGAAAGCTAGGAAAATCCCAGCAAACATGTGTTTCACTCTTCTGTGCCCAATGAAATAGTTATCCCACCAAAATCCTAAACTCAACTGGAGTACAAGATTCTCCCCTCCGATTGCAGCTGTGAAGGTTACAGGACTGCGGGGTGTGTGTGTGTGTGTGTGTGTGTGTGTGTGTGTGTCAGAGACAGCCACAGCTCTGCTCAGCACTGCTGCTCTGAGTTGCTTTGAGTCCATATACAATATTCTTCTACATTTTTTCTCCAACTACACCAGAGTAAGTTCCTTCTTAAACCCTGTTCCCTGCACTAACAGTTGGGAACTTAGTCCAAGTTCCACCTTTATCTTCTGCTCATTAGTTGCAGGTGTCAGGTCCAAGCCCCTCTGGGTGAGACTGGACCTTCTAGGATGCTGGGTCTTAGACGGAGAAGCCATGAGAAGCTGTGGGTCTTTACAAGAATGAGTCTTTATTACAAAAGCCAGTGGCCACATCGCCATCAGACAAAACAGTCCTTCATAGCAGTCCATTCAGGCAGGCAGCCGGACACCAGCTGGTAAATACATATTTTTCCCATGGTAGCCTTAATCTCTGTACCCACAGTGATTATCTGAGCAGCCGCATGCTGCCCCCTAGACTCACCACCTCACCTAATAGCAGCACCTCAGCTCTCTGCCTCGGCAGCATCTCTTGTCTCCCATGTCTCCAGTCTGGTAGTTACATCCTCTGTGCCTACCTCAGCTTCTCTAGCACACTCTTCTTCCCAGCACACTCGCTGGTTGACATGGTCACATTATCTGAGCTCTCTAAGAGCTCTTAGCCTTACATCGTAGTAGTACCGGCTCTCAGCTCCATCTGAGCTCTCTAGCCTGGTCCCTTCTCTCCAGCACACTCCTCTGCCCAGCACACTGGCTGGTCTCTAACTTGTATATTATTCCAGAGACAAAGAAAGCTTCCTGCCAGTCGTTACATCAATAATATGTTGGCTACAGAAGGGCATGCATGTGCAGTACTCCGTGGGATTGTCGTGCTTGTGTCCTTGCACTTGTTTATGGTATCTTAGCCTAGGTGCAGAGTGGCCTTGGGCATTCAGTATATTGATAAGGCCTCTGGGCTTTAAAATGGCCTTGACTATCAAGTGTCTCTGGCATGGTTCTCACAGTGTAGTTCTGCTTTGCCACAAAGATTATAGCTGAATTAAGACCCCAAATGTTGGATTTAGGTATAAAGCTCACTGACTAACCCATGTATCCAAAATAGAAACCCAAAGTCTCAGAGGCTCATCAAGCATAAGCCTTCTATCACTGTGGACTCAGTCTCCTTAGCTCTCCTGCTGGCCCATCAGGTTTCTTTGGGTTTCTGACCAGCCCCACATTGAACCACGTGGGGAAGAGAAAACTAGTACCATTGACCTTGACAGAGAAAGATTTGAGAATACAGATGAGTCCATTTTATACCTAGTACTATGAATTAACCATTTTCCATCTGAGGAAAAAATGAGATCATTCTCATATTAATAATCCAAAACTTGACTTACACAAAGAAAACTCAAACTTGATGTTGTTCTTAAAATTCTAAGTTGCATTGTGTTGTCACACTGTGAGTATACTCATGACAATAACAATTATAGCTATCAATTATTAAAAGAGTTAAATGTGTACCTGGCATTGTTATATACTTTAATGTATGTATACCTCATTTAATTTTTTAATATACCTTTTTAGATTTTATTTTTTAAATATATTTTATTGATTTTTTTTTTACAGAAAGGAAGGGAGAGAGATAGAGAGTTAGAAACATCAATGAGAGAGAAACATCGATCAGCTGCCTCTTGCACACCTCTTACTGAGGATGTGCCCACAACCAAGGTACATGTCCTTGACTGGAATCAAACCTGGGACCCTTCAGTCCACAGGCTGATTCTCTATCCACTGAGCCAAATTGGTTAGGGCCCTTATTTAATTTTTACTAAATTTATATTAGGAAGAAGTTATTGTCCCCAGTTTAAAGATAAATAAATGAGACTCAAAAGTTTAATATAATAGGACTTAACAAGTAGCAAGTGGCAGAGCTAGGATTTGAACCCATGTTTTTCTGAGGCCAAAGATCTTGAACCGTACACTGCCTTTCTTTCTATTACGTACACTACCTTTCAGACAGTGCTGCCTCTACTGTCTCATGACACTTTTATATGGTCAGGTATACCAGAAAGATGACTGAGCTGACAGTTTTATTGCATGTATGTGCATTAACATCAACCAATACTTTTATTTAGTCCCATGTAGTCCGTGAATGTTTTGCAAGCAGATGGGCTAGAGATTCAGAAAAAATCAATGAATATTTGACTAAGAGTAAAAACATTATACGTGCTTTTTCTTGGAAGTAAGGGGAAAGCTATAGTCTTACTATAACAGACCCAAGGCTAATGACTTAGAGCCCCCCTGAAGCAGAAGTCTATCTGACTCTAAGGTTTTGCTCATTCCATAGACATATTTCCCAATGGAGTTTCTAAATTTTGACATTCAAAATACAGAATCCTTACATGGCTCTTTACTTTTAGATTCAAGGCCAGTTTACTTCCTAATCTCTTATTTATTATTCACTTTCATATAAGGTTCACTTCGCCTTGTTTTCACATTCTTTATGTTCTTACATACTCTGTAACAGACTGTTCTCACTGTCTTGAAGATTGTTACATTGATCTTATCTTTTCTTCCTTGTGTCTATCAAATCTTCACACCATTCAGCTTCCAGAATTTGTAGTTCTGATTTTGCCCAAAGCTTTTCTAATTAATTAAATATGAAACATTGTAATTCTTCTATGGAAATCATCTTTTCTTTCTAGCCAAAGGCATTACCAGTGGTAAAATGTATTCATTTTGTACGTAACAGAACTTTCAACCATTAGATTGTACTTTTTATTGATTTTTTTTTTTCTGGTTAAAGTAGAAATGCTATTGTAGAAGATTTTTAAATATCAAACAAACTAGAATGTAAAAGCCATTGTTTATGCCAGCACCTTAAGAAAGCATTGTTAACATTTTATTATATTTCTTTCAGTCTTTTTTTAAAAACACATATAGTAAAACTTTTCCAGCCTTAATGTATTTTTGTTTTGCTTTGTTTTTCCTAAAATAAGCCCTCTAAGATTTAGATTCACCCAGTTTTCTGGATTCATAAGAGCCAAGTAGCCAACAGGAGGGTCGACCATTAACAGACTTGGCAAAGCATTGACTCATAACTGTCTGGAAGTATTCCTATTTCTGGGCTTGTTTACAAAGATTTAACTCCTATATGCTCTGTGTCCAACTCCTGGGTAACTCTCCTCTTTGCTTCCATCATGTGTTAATTGCCTGTAAATTAAAACTACTCTGTTTTATTTTATAGAAGCTAGAAAAATATATCAATAGTAGATTATATAAAACATGGCATTACAAGATAATACATCTCACTTCTTGATTTTTTAATTAAATTATAGATCTAAAAATGATTTTATGTTCATGTAATGTAAATGCTCTTTGTGGGTTTTTCTTCTCGCTTTGTGGGCCCATCTTAACTGTACGGAAGAAGAGCTATTCTTATTCAACTGTGCCTTTGGCTATCTAGCCTTTATATCCTTCCAGTTCATTGTATCAAGAACTCATCTGGTGAATATACCTTGTTTGAAAGCTTAGCCTACCAGTGTTAGGGGTCCAAGTTTTTTCATTTAGTCTATTAGGAAGGACTTTGCTCTTAGATAATTGCATCTCATTTCTTCCACCTATTAAAAAGAAATTGTTGATTATTCCATCTAAGTTTAGACATTTATCCAGTTCAGTTTTGTTTGTTAATCAAGCTTTTAAAGATATTAACTTTTTACCAACCCCCAAAAAAGCATTAAAATGTTACCTCATAGGAGAAATAGCTTCACAGTCTTACTGAACACCTTTCTCACAATTCCCTTGATACCAAGTGTATTCTCAGCACCCAGCACATAGCATATCATCATTAGCTATATGTAAGTGAATAAATAATATTCCCCAAGGCATCAAAACCCATCCCCAAGCAAGTAAGATGACCAACTTATGAGGGCTAAAGGTTTTCATAGCTCGGAAGAAGTGCAAAACCCTTTTCTTCCACAAACGTATATTTCCTTAAATGCTACCTATGAACCCCTTGCCTATGAGAATTTCATTTCTCACATACTTTTATTTTTCTCACACTCCACCTAACAGAGCCATCAGAGCCTAACCAAGTTAAACCCTGAGTCTAGAGCTGTTGCATTTGTAGTGTAAATCTTCCGGACCAAGATAAAGGAGCTGAAGTATTAGCAACATGGAGGACAAGCCTGAGAACTGAACAGCTGCAAGTGTTGAGGTTCCCCAGGCAGTGGAGGTTCAAGAGGACAATCATGAGGTGTCAGGGCCTTCAAGACACAGCAACATTTTAAACTGTAGGCGTTTTGCATCAGGGTAGACATTGCAGCCAGAGGTCTGTGTTTTATTGAAGTCTAAAGTAATTCCCCTTGTTTTATGCTACTGAATGGTTCATTTGCTTTGGGAGCCTCAGGGGGTAAAAGGGAGGGAAACAAATTAAGTCAAAACTGCAAAGACTTGTTAAAACTACACAAGGTGTGCCTAGCCCTCTTATGGTTATACGAGACCTTGGGATAAAAAAAAAAAAAAAAAATCTGTGGGAATTCCATCCCTGACTTGCTCCATAACAACTCACAGCTGATTAAGTCAACCTTTGAAACATGCAATGAAAACACAGAGAAAACCTAACTTAATATGCAATGGCATAAACCAGTGGTCGTTTCATTTTCTGGAAACCGTGTTGGCACCAGGAAGAGAAGTAGATTAGCAAAAACCTCTAAGAATAACAGGCCTTTCTGTAAATCAGTTAAGTTTACTGATTAATGAAGAGCCAGACTTTGATGTTAAGAACTTGATGCGCAGTGATTCTGAGCATGTCCCTCAATAAAGGCTGCCGCTTAAGAGTTCCAAGGAGGGACTCATAGATGTGCTCAGGGAAAGAAGGAAATAGAAATATTTATGATTTCTGCACCACCCAACATACACGAAAACACACCCTCACCTAATCCCTGGCTATAAAACTTTGTTTATATAGTTGTAAATTGGGAAATCTCAGGCATAAAACTCTATCTCTATTAAAGTTACAATGGGTTAGTGGACTGGTGATTGTGGGAGGCTTGCTGTTTTTTGCTTTTTTTTCTGGTAGCAAATGGTATGAAGTCATAGGGAATCCATATCTGTAAAGCCAAATAATAACTTCTTAGATGTTGGTGGCATCATTAGCAAAGTTGGGATGTCCCTTCAGGACAAACATATAAAAGCTCTCCTGTCGCTTACAATCGTGTCAAGGAGGAACCAAAATGAACTTGCAAAGACATGCACTAGTTCAATTTTGAAAGAAAAAAAAAATCTCTCTTTGAAGGAAATAAAATCAATCCCCAGGTCAAATTAAATTTTGACTACTCTGTGAAGTTTCAATACACAGTTCCAATAACAGTCAGTGCTTAGGACTTAACGTGCAGGCAAATAATGTTTCATTTAAAAGAAATTGAATGAGGATGACTGACAGAGAAAGTTTTGATGCTATTTTGTCATTAGTTAAAGTTAAATCATGCCATTATTGGCTCAGTCATGAGCATCTCAATTCTCAGTCTCCTCGTTTTTCTCCTCCCTTCCCACCCCCCACATGCAATAGGAGCCCTTTGCCTGGCTGGGCTTGTCTCTTCCTATTATTTAAACCTTGTCATGCAAATGCATCATAAGTGTAGCCTGAAGACTTTTGTCTCATGCAAAATTTAGCTTAAATTCTACAGTTATGCAATACCTGTTATGCATAAAACTTCTGTTTGGTTTGCTGACATTCTTCTTTGTCTGCTCTCATGGTGATTCATTATCTTGTGATATAGATTCCCAAGTATCATCTTTGTATTGATTTGTATATCTTTAATAACCACTCCACAGAAGATGGCTCCACTGGTGTCATTGATCGCATCAAAAATTCAAGGCTTACAGAAACACTAGAGGGCTAATTGGTAGCAGAACATTTCAGACTTAATCTTAATGCAGTCTTAATCTTCTGCATTAAACCTACCGAAGGTTTCCTCTTGCAGCAGACAAGGGGAAGTTTAGTGCCTCGGCGAAAAACACCTGGTGAGAGCATTCAAGAACATTGCAGTACATGGACTACAAACCTGAAAATGTCACTAAACAAACTGTCAGAAAATAAGAGCAATCCGTTCAGAGCCTGCACCACTGGAATGCTCCTGGCTTTCCCTTGCTATCGCTTCTTTCTCCACCAAGCCAGGCTTGCTTATGGGTTTTAGAAACAAAGCTGTGAAGGGAAAATCCCCATAATTCTAAAGCATGTGCTACCCTGGAATTTGATAATTTTCCAATGTTGCAATAGGAGGGATTCCTCTGCAGAAACTCAGAATGAACATCCTGTTTGAATAAATGACTTTAAACAACAAGCTTAGGGTTGCTGGTATAGGGCCAGCAAGTCCAGAGACTGTGTACAACCGGGTGTATGCACCCTGTTCATGGGCTATTCAGAACATTAGGTCATTAGAAACCTAACCCGAAGGAAGAAGCAGGTGCTTTATGCAAAGCTGAAGAGTAACCTGATTATAAAGTTGGAACTTGGACTTACAATATTCTTTCCAGTCACTGTTATCAAAGCACAGGTGAGTATAACCTGACACTTGCCCTACTTTCAGAAGTCTATGGAAGGAAGGTGGGAAGGAGACTGGGACATATTTGATCATTAACTGGAAGGCAGGATGTACAAGGATGTGGACTTTGGGATTGGCCAGTAAATATTATATATGAAGCCACTTTAAAGTGCAGCCAGAGCTGCCATGACAGAGGAACTGCCTTGCCTGATGTCTTATGACTAATACAGGGAAAATAACCTTTGGACTGGGACTAAGGCAATCTGTGTCCCAAACATTGTTTGCAAAGGTAACAAAACAGCAAATACTATGACTACTGGACTGATGACTACCGGACTGAAAATTAAAAACACTGTTTAGAACTAACATCACTATGTTGTTTTCTTCACCAATTAAAAAATGCTTTCCATCTACTGAAGTAAATATTCTCCTTTTTCTCATAAGTACCTATTGCCTTTGTCTCCTAATTGAAACATTAGTTGGGCTTCTGCCGGAATTAATGCTTCCCAAGTAGCTATTCTTATTGATCTCAAATAAACACTTCTTTGCCTCTTACTTTGAAATACCTTTTTATTTGTAAGGTAACAGACCAAACCTTAGTTTTTTTCCACCTCCAACTTTGTGTGGTGTAGCACTGGGAAGATTGCTGTCTCTCTGAATAATGGTGACATTTAAAGTTTCCTCCTCATGATAATAAAATGTGCAATGCTGAGTACTGGGCATGTTATTTATGCACCCAAAGGCATGTAACCTATTAAAAGACAATAAAGAAGGAAACCATGTGTGTGTCTTTTTCCCCCCCCTGTAAAAGTTGAGGAAGTATTTTAAGAGGAGGTGGGAAAGGGGATGTAATACAAAAAATATGTATAAATATATATACTTATATAATGTGTAATTTTATGTATATATATCCTGACCACATGGTTCAGTGGATTGAGCATCATCCAATGCATGAAGAAGTTGCTGGTTCGATTACCAGTAAGGGCATATGCCCAGGTTTTGGGCTGGAACCCCAGTAGGGGGCTTGCAGGAGGCAACTGATCAATGTTTCTATCATTTCTCCTACTCCCTCTCTCTTTCTACAAAATCAATAAAAAAAACATTTTTTTAAAAAATAAAAGCTCAACTATTTACATAAAAAGTGTATATTCAAAATTTTAGGTGCAAAATTTAGAGCAAAGAGCTAAGCTTATATGCTAATTCAGCATTGTAAATGTAGCATGAAACACTGAAAGGAATTTGGAATTTAAAGGCATTGGAATTAGGGTGACACTTTAGAAAGACTGGAGAGAGAAGGGATGAATCAGAGATGGAGGCCATAGTGAGACAAAGGTCATGGTGAGCTTTTAATGTTTAGCATTCAGGTACTTGAATTTGGGGAGTCAAGTAAATTTTAAATAACTAGAAATTATAGTTGCAAATTTCAAAGTTTCTCATTCTAAAAATAAAATGTAGCCACCTTATAAACAAAATAATAAATATGGAAAGGTCTACACAATTAATTTAAGTATTAAGTGCACTGTTAAAATGTATTGCTAAGATTTTATTCAAAGTGTTACATTTACAAAATAAGCGTGGATTTCAAATAACTTATTAGGATATGATATTTAAGAAATGTTAAACACCTGTATAGTACAAGTTATTTTTCTATTGAAGTCATTATCCCAGTTTCATAGTTATTTGCTTCACAGAATTTAGTCATGTATCTGGTCTATAAATACCCATTTGTTGATGCAATTCAATTTGGACTTTTATCCTCTTTCCTAAACAGGCTTCAGCTTTCAACTTAGGAGAGCAAAGCAGCTTTCAAATTAGGAGAGCAAAGCAATTTCATTATAGATGTTTTCATTTCAACTCTGTGGAGTCCCACAAAATAGTTCCTGATATTGCAACTTCCTGGCCTTCTCCTTTTGTATTTTATAGTCTTCCTCCTTTGCTTTCTCTCTTTTTCCTTTTTTGATATCTTTGTCTCTTTTTCTAAGTTTTTACTGCTTTTTCTCCACTTCACTTCCCAACCTCTTCTCCCTTCATTCTTTCTTTTTTTCTTTATCATATTATCACCTAAACTGAAACCCAATGCATGTAATTGTAAGTTTGATTCAAATGTTATTTATCCATAGGATATTTTTTAAAATAGCAATCCAAAGAGTCCTTAGGTATGGCACTAAATTAATTTTCTACCTTTTACAATAAATGATTATGACATGAAAGGGAACAAAAATTCTACTAAATGCAGATCCTACAAAATGCAGTAAAAATAATTTTCCAAGTGCTGAAAATTTTTCTTTTTCTTGAACTTTACCTTTGTTATTTTCCAGTATAGCATAAACTATTAAAGTTCTCTGTGTTCCTCAATATAGGAAAAAACACACAAATACTTTTGCTCAATAGTAAGTTATTATAGAATGTAAACATTAATTTTCTATTTTTAAAATGTTAAAATGCTACAAAAAAAATATAGGTCCTGACTCTTAATACACTAGAAAAAAAGTTAGACATTCAATACTAATCAGATTTTTGTTTCTAAAATTTTTCTCTTCTTTTTAAAAATAATACTATCTATTCCTTACCACTGTCATGGAATTAAGTTTTTACTTATTGATACAATATTACTATTAACAATGTTTGATTATTGACCAATGAGCAATGGCATGTGATATACTAAAATTTCATTAACAAATATATGTAATTTTCCTTTTTATTAAATTTTTCTTTAATAAGAGCAAAAACTACAAAAGTGAGACTTAACAGAGTTTACCAGCCAAATGAATTTTTTTTAATATGGGTTTTGTATATAAAGTGGCCAAGAGATAAAATAAGAAAATTTTTATATTTTCAAAGCTTTTCCTTTTCAGGATTTTTTCCTCGGATCACAGCTGTTAAACTCTCCCAATGGAGGCCCCACGCCATTCCACAGAGAGTGCCACCTCTGCAGTCATTACTGATCCCATCCTTGAGAGCAAATCACAAATACCTTCAGTTTGTCACCATAGAATTTATGTAACTTCACATTATAAGTTGAATCCCCAGTGGACAAAACTGGCATCCTAACTTTCAGCCAACTGATAATATTAACTGCCACATATTGAACAACTGCAATGTTTTTACTTGTATTATCTTGAATTCTTACAAAGACCCAATATGAGGTTTTAGTATCTTTATTATATAGATGATATATAATATACTAGAGGCACAATCATGAAATTTGTGCACTGGAAGGGGCATCCTCTTCAATCTGGGACCCCTCGAGGGATGTCCAACTGCCTAAACTAGGTCTAAACCAGCAGTCGGACATCCCTCTCACAATCTGGGACTGCTGGCTCTTAACCCACTTGCCTGCTTGGCTGCCTGATTGCCCCTAATCACTCCCTGCTGGCTTGATTACCCCAAACTGCCCTCCCCTGTCAGTCTGATCTCCCCCAATTGCCCTCCTTTGCAGGCCTGCCCCCCCCCCAACTGCCCTTCCCTGCAGGCCTATCCCCCCACAACTGTCCTCCCCTGCCAGCCATCTTGTGACAATGTGGGGGTGGTCATCTTGTGGTGGCCATCTTGTGATGACATGGGGCAGCCATCTTGTGATGCCAGGGCATGAGGGTCAATTATTATGTAGGATAATATATTATATATATAATATAAATATATCATTATATTTATAGTATCATCTTTATTTTATAGATGGGAAAACTGAGAACCAGATTAAAAAAAAACACACATACACACAAACACCAATGTTGCCCAAATGTACAAAGTCAATAATTGTTCCATATAGACTTTATGTTCTGTTTGGCAAATATCTATGTCCTGCAAGATAGCAGTTTGACAATGGTTAGTAAATGTTTTGTTTCACTTTGTTTTATTTAGTGTAGTAAGAATATTTAACCCAAGATCTAGCCTCTTAATGTATATTTAAGTGTACAATACAGTATGGTTAACTATAGACATTATGTTGCACAGATCTCTATAATTAATTCATCTGGCATAACTAAAGCATCCCCCATGGATTGGATATGCCTCTAGGGGCTTGAAGCATCATCCCTTTTACTTTACAAATGATGAGCAGAACGATCAGAAACAGGACTAGAAAACTTTTATCTCCTGGCTCCTACTAACTTGCCTGTGAAAGCTGCTTCTTTTTTTCTTCTTTTTTTTTAAATATATTTTATTGATTTTTCACAGAAAGGAAGGGAGAGGGATAGAAAGCTAGAAACATCGATGAGAGAGATACATCGACCAGCTGCCTCCTGCACATCCCCCACTGGGGATGTGCCCGCAACCAATGTACATGCCCTTGACCGGAATCGAACCCGGGACCCCCTCAGTCTGCAGACCAACGCTCTATCACTTAGCCAAACCGGTTTCGGCTGAAAGCTGCTTCTAACCAAGCAAAAGACATGTCCAGACATGGGCAATAAGCAACATTTCCTTGCCTGTCTTCCCTGAAAAGTTGCTGGAATTCTTGCCTCCTCAGAGCCATCTATCTAGCATAATTCAGTCAGGTGTATGTTTTATATCCAGTATGAGAAACAGCAGTACTTATGCAGATGCAGGCAGCATCTGGTCAGAATTTAGCTGAGTGAATACTTGCCCCTGGAAATCCAATACCAGCACAGGCAGACCCTCCTGCTTGCCCAGAGCAGCATCCACCTAAGGGGCTGGGAGACCTGCCGGATCCAACACAATCCAGATGTCCCCTCCATCTCCTCCTCTTTCACCTACAACCATCTATTGTTTGCTTTGTCCTTTGGCAACATTTATAAGTTTTTAAAGAAGTAAAGGAGCTAGAAGATAGAACTAATATGCTTTTAAAATAGAACAAACACATCACCTGTTGAGTAGTTAAAGCTTTTTTTTTTAATCA